AAAAAAATATAATGGGGAAGCATAACATAGTTAATAGTAGTAGATAATGAATTGTATATAACATCATATTAATATTGATTTTTTTCAAAAAAACAGATCTACCAATTAAACAATGGGATTGGATTATTGTTCAAAGCATTAATGGTGGTGGTAATAATAATATATCAATTACTGATAATAATTCTTTATTATTATGGTTATTGTTACTTATTTATTATTATGGCTTATTGTTAACGTGGTAAGTAATAATATATTATTAATAATATTTATTGTATTAACAGGTTTATTATTATGGTTTATTGCTATTATTATGTACACGACCATCAAGGTAAGTAATAATATACATATAATTTATTGTATACATATATATAACATTATATTAACGGATTTATTTATTATTGTGCATGCGACCATCAAGGTAAGTAATAATATACATATAATTTATTGTATACATATATTACATTGTATTAACGGGTTTATTTATTATTATGCACGCAACCGTCAAGGTAAATATAATATATCACTAATAATTCTTATTGTATTAACAGGTTGATTATTATGGTTTATTGTTACGCATGGTAAGTAATAATATATTATTAATAATAATTCTTATTAAATATATAACGTTGTATTAATATTTCTTTTGTTCCAAAATGGTGTTCACTATTATTGTTATGCACGTGATCATCAGAGCAGTAAGTAATAATATATTATTATTTAATAATTTTTATTATATATATAACATTGTATTTAATATTTCTTTCTTCCAAAATGGATTCATAGTTATACAATGGGTTATTTTCATACAACAATTAAAGAAAAAAATTAGTTATTATTTTATTATTATCATCATCATTATTTATTGCTATGTATAAAATTTATTTGTATTTAAAAAAATAAATAAAGTTTCTTTTGCCAACTGTATATTTATTATAAAAATAAAAATAAATTCAGTGTAAAAAAAATGAAGTTGTCATTTTATTAATTTTCGTGTGTTAGAAATTTTTATAGAAAACCCCTAGAAAATTCTGATACTATATAAGGCAGGATCACCACACATCCATTTATGGTATAATCCCAGACTGTATATAGGAAATTTCTGCTCAAAGTTGATCCTTATTTCCATTACCTAATAAGGTATTGTACAACAAGGAACAGGAACAGAAACGGAACACACCTATTGCAGTCAAGGAGATTTCCAAATTTGGAATTTCCAAATACTGTAATGATTAACATTCTAGATTCATTGTGTAATTCTAA